CTTATGGTAGAAGAACGTGTATTGTATTTGCCTTTCATGGCAAGTACAGTGGTGTAGATGCAGCCAAGAGTTAAGAAAGGTAAAAGCTGGACTGAAGAAAATAGAACTAGGTAGGGATTGGCCTCCTAGGTTACTAAAATATTAAACTGTATCAGTTTTTATAGTTTTTTCATGAAGAACACCAGAATATTGCAACACTCAGTATCTGTCTTTAATCAGCTGGGTATGAAGATGTATATTCTGGGAATGAAAGGGGTTTTTAATTTCCTTTTGCATCCTTGGGTAATGAGACTACTACTAGATTCTACTTAATTATTCCCCTTTTTATTTTTTGTGCATCACTGATCTTTGTCTAGATGAGCAAGATGCTTTTATAGACATTGCTTTAAATTAGCAAACTTTTTTCAGTATGATAATCTTCCATTTTAGGAATGAAGCAAATCCACTTTTTTAACATCAATTTGTACTTCAGACATTATTTCATAGGGAGTTTTAGGGAGTTGCCAGTCTTGCCCTGGTTGACTGAAGAAAAGCAGATTATGCAACTTCTACATTTGCGGTTTTATTGCCAGTGACAACTCCAACCTTCCTACCAGTTGACCAATCTTGCAGCCCTCTGAAGACCTCTCCCAGTTTTTCCTTTTATTTGTATAATTTAGAAACATGTTTCCAAGAGGATACAGTTATGTTCCCTAAAACTTCAATTGCATTCCTCTTTCACAAAAAGGAAGAACCTAATTTGCAAAAAAAATTATACCAAATACCTCCCTTTTTTTTTTTTTTTTTTTTACAAGTCAGGAATTGACTGCATTTATGTCATCTCACTGTTTCCGAAACACCCATTGCAGTGACTCATACATAATCCCCTAAGGAGTGAAAAGAACATTTGAAAAATAAAGAAACACGCACTGAACTGGAGCTAGAAAAGCTGGCAGGAAATCCTGGATCTAGCCCTATAGAAAAAAAACAATGATCTGTGGAAAAAAACATTTTTCTATATTACTGTATGTAAAGAGCTTACTGTGTGTCCTTTATAAAGATGTAATGAGATTTTTGTTGTTTTTTGTCTTCAAATGTGAGAGAATTCACAGATTTTTTTTTTGCTTCTCTCCCCTCATTTTTGGATAACCTAGAAGTGCAGTGCTCAGATGTACGTCGTGCTCACTGCTCACTTCTTCCAAGCCCTCCCTTGTTGTCATTGATTTGTCTCTTCCAAAGTTTTTCAGACTTTTTCTAAAGACTTTAAGACTCAATTTTAAGACTGCCTTGTTTTTCTACTTTAGAAAGGTTGTTGTGTTGTTTTTTTTAATATGCATGCTTTCTAGTTTGACTGTCACTGTTGTATGAATCTTTTAAAAGTTTGATACTACATTTTTAGCTGAGCCAAACTTCTAATCAGTGCGGCACACTGATTAAAAATTATTTCTTTTTGGTTTGATATGTCATTAAATAATTTAAAAAAAGTGGAGGGGAGAGTCATAATTCATAGAAGATGAGAAGCTCTAGAAGTTCTTAACTAAGGCATTGTGGCTTATGTGATGACCAAAATAGTTCTTTGATTGCAGTTTGACTTTGCTTTTTTTTCCAGACAGTATTTGGAAAACCTGTGTCTGAGTTATCTCTGGAGACATGAATAACCTCCGGGAGCTGTGGTCTGCAGCACGCACTTAAACACTGCTGGTTCCTTTTTTTTTTTTTTTTTTTTCCTAAAAATGCCCGTAAAATGCTGAGATGGAGTTAATTTGCTTCATAGCATCCCATATGATGCTGTGGTTTAGATCTGTGGCAGGGGGAGTCAGCAGCTGTGTGGTGCTGAGCTGCCTGCAGGGGTTAACCCACAACAAATAACAAATGCCTTCCATCATATCTGTCCTAGGTACATAAAAATTGGAGGAAAGAGGTGAATGAGTGTGTCTGTGTATAATTTTCTTGGTTTATGCAATATTTTCCCAGGCCTGCAAAAATGGAATATATTTAGCATCTGGAAAGGAGCAGCAAATAAATACATTATAATGCAAATTGTGCGTAACAGTTATAATGAGGCTAAATGTAATACAAGATAAGTCATAGTTCCGACGACAGCAAAATAAACAAATTACTTTAAGAAGTGTTACGTTTCAGCTGAAGACCTGGATAAGTGGAAGCTCCTAACTGTTATAAAACAGGTGACAGAGTGGAATGAAAGGATATTTAATTTCATGCAGACCAGAGGCATAAGAAATTCCTGCCTGATTGAGACTAGTGATCCAGGATGGTGTCTGAGAATGGCAGCATGTAAACCTGGCTGCTTTCTATGCTCCCTTCCCTTTGGATTCTTCCAGCATCCACAGCTGTTGAATTAGAGCTTTTAGAAGGTACCTCCCTGCTCAGCCCTTTTACAGTCCGCTTAAGGCCCTGTCATCCATCACGTTGCCTCATCCCTTGTTCAACCATTTGTACCGTCTCTCTCCACAGCCTCCTGTGTGGCGTATTCCAGGAGGTCACTGTGCAAAGAACATTTTTTGGTTGATCTCCAATCAATTTTATCAAGCGCCTCCAGTTCTTGTGGTTGGGGTAAATAGTGGGTTTCTACTCAATTTATCAGTCACCTTCATGATTTTCTAAACTTCAGTTGTACCCCTCTCAGCCATCACACCCCCAAACTTCAGAGTCTTAAGACGAAAGGCCAGCCTTTCTGATCTTTCATCTCAAGGCACCTGTCTACCTTCTCCTTCATTCTGGTTGCCCTGCTCTGTACCTTCTCTAACTCCTTTTGAGATGTGGAGACCAGAACTAAATATTACTGAAGACATGAATGCCTCAAAATTTTGCGCAGTCAAAATTATGCCCTCTAAGCATCCTTCCTGATGGTGCCTACTATTTTGTTGGCTTTTATAGCTGCCTCTGCACTTGGAGCAGGAATTAGATGCAAGTTGGTAAGAGCTGAGTGCTCAGCAGTGTTCTGACAGTCGAGTGGTATAGCCTTCCTTGTGATTTCTGGGGTAAGTGTGAGATGATGCTCTCTTCAAAAGTCCTCTTGGGGCTTTATTTATAGATCCATGGCAGCCTTCTACCTCCTTGCAAAATGTGCCTTTTCACATGCCCTTATTCTTCCCTTTCTCACACTGGCTTTTGCGTTCTTCAAAAAAACAGAGATGGCAGAACAGATTAATGTAACACTTCTGCATTTTGTACGTCTTCCCTGTTTAAACAACAAGCAAGAGAGAGCAGAAAGTTTCTTGAATAAACTCTTATTATTTTGAATTGGAGCCAGTCTGACTCCCATTGTTATCATGTTAACCTAGACATATTTTATACTGGATTTTTCTTAATTTCTGAAGTTTTATTATGCAGAATGATATGTGAGGAAAACACTGTAATGTAGTAGTAAGTATTGTGTGGTTTAGTTAAACGTGGACATGAGTCAGCCTTGTGCCCTTGCCGCAGTAAAGGCAAACTGCATATTGGGTTACACTAGGAAGAGCTTAGCCACCAAGGAAAGGGATGTGGTTTGTTTCCCGACACACAGCATTAACAAGCCTGCATCTGGAGCACTGTGTCTGGTTTTTCCTCCTGCGCTGCCCAGCACAGGAGAGAGATTAACAAATGGAGAGGACCTAGCAAAGACCTGCTAAGGAGGTTAGAGGGCTGCAGCACGTGACACACACCTGGAAAGGGTAGAGGAGCTTGGCTTGGTTTGGCTGGAGAAAAGTCTAATGGGGAATCTAATTGCATCTTTTCACCCTCAAAAGTGAGGTTTACAGAGAAAATGGAACTAAAGTCTTTGGAGGGGTGCACACAGTAACGACAAGAGGCAGTCATCACAAGATGCAACATGAGAAGCTTCCACTCAGGTATGAGGAAAAATACCTTCACTGTGAACTGGTCAAGCAACTGGAACAGGTTGTCCTGAGAAAAACGGAGGTTTTCGGGCTGTGACTGGATGAGCCTCATGAGAAACCTGGTCTAACTGTGAAGCTATCCTTACCTCCAGCAGGTTTGAATAGGTGACATCCTTCTGATCTCAATTTTTGTTTGATTCTGTATTTGTGAATAGCTAGCGAGACGTTGCTAAAATGTGTGCGTTGTTCTCTGCAGGTTTTGGTGTGATCTAACATCTGTCCTGCTTACAAATAGATGATTTTAGCAGGAAATCTGAACTTTCAACAGTGTTTCCCGGTTGTCCTCTTGGACAGTAGTACTGGAAAAAGCAGTGACTGTATGTTTTGGGGAGCGTTCGTGGGTGGGGCTGTTGTACTCTGGAGGCTTCACACTTGGAGACTTCAGAGCCTTTCTGTCCAGTTTCTTCCAAAATCACCCATCCTTTTCCTAACCCCACCAACCTCGCTGATCACCAAAAATGCCGAGCAGTTTTCAAAATCCCAGCCTTTGTTCTCAGCGAGAACTTCAGATCCCTTGGTGTGGAGGCAGGGAAGAGTGCTTGTAAAACAGTAAAGTTGTTTTAAAGACGGGTGCAGGAGATAATCAGTGCCAGTGCCTGGGGCAGCTCTCTTCAGCCCTGGCACTGCTTCCCCAGGCGGGTCTGTCTGCGTGGCCGTGCAGCGGCTCAGATCAGGGCTGCATCTCATTTTTGCCTGCTGTCCCCGGTGCCCTCGGCGTACCTCATGGCTGCTGTTGCAGCAGAGGGAGCGGTGTGTGGTGGGAGCAAGTCACGGGGCTGAAGGGTAGGGATCAGCTGTGGCTCGAGGCTGCCGCAGACGTGCGTGCCGGATCACACGTAGTCACGGCACTCTTTCCCAGCACAGGAGCGTGTTGAGGCTGTATCTAGCAACCACCGAGACCCTGCGGAGGTCTCAGCAGCTGGTACGCGCAGCCTCAGAAACACCCTGCGTCCGAGGGTGGCCCCAGGGACGCCGTGCTCCGCGTTGCGGCCTTGTCTGCCTCCATACCACCCTCTCCTTCATTAAATGCTCTGCCGGTGCTGCCTGCGCCTTGGTTTGGTGTGCTGCCTGAATGAGGTTCGGGTTATCGCGTCCTACCTGGGTATTTGGTCTTTGGGAATGCTTGGGGCGTTAGGCCGTGTCCAGGACCTACTCACTAAGGTAAGTGTGGGCAACAGCTGGTGATGTTCTCCAGCAGCCAGTTGCTTTAGTAAAAAGAGTTCGCTGAGCCCCTTAACAGAGACTTCTCCCTTCTTGCGTAACATATATTTAGTACCTCAGTGCATTAAGGTGCTGGATTTAAATAAATAAAGGGTCACCAATTTATATGATCTCCTGCTGTTTCTCTGTGTGTATATATAGGATGACAAAGAAGCCAACAGACCCATGCCAAACAAAGGAGACCATGGACTAGGAAATGAGAAGTTCAAACCTGTGGTACCTTGGCCTCATGTTGAAGGTGTGGAAGTGGACTTAGAATCCATTCGGAGGAAAAATAAGGCCAAAAATGAACTAAATCATCATGGTGGTGGTGATAACAAACAGCAAAACATCATCCAGAGGCAGTATCTCACATTTAAGCCTCAGACATTTGTATACCGAGATCCTGTTTTACGACCTGGAGTCCTTGGTAATTTTGAACCCAAAGAGCCTGAGCCTCACGGAGTTGTTGGTGGCCCTGGAGAGGAAGCGAAGCCATATGTTTTAGGACCAGATTACAAAGAATCCATTCAAGCCAGCATTAAAGAGTTTGGGTTTAATATGGTGGCAAGTGATATGATCTCACTAGATCGGAGCGTTAATGACTTGCGTCAAGAAGAGTAAGCAAACTTTTTGTTTTCTTTTAGTTCTGTTTTTATGGGATTTAATTATTTTCTTTCCATATATCTTAATTGATGCTTAAAATAATATTATTAATTAGGCCAAATACTTAAGGCTTCTTGTCCTGACAGGCAAGAGTGCTGTACTGTACCAAATGTTTCCATATATTATTCTTAATGCTGTTGCAATGATTCCTTTCATGAATACTTTATCTATATTGATTTATCTCTGAAGTCATCTGTTTTAGTGTCTAATTGCAGGTATTTGCATGTTCCAGGTCCAGCCGCAGTCTTCGTTGCACTATCTTCTTTTCTTAATCCGTAACTTCTTAAGATTTGCTTTTAAGAAAGAATGATTTTCATTTTTATTTCCTGCAGAAATTCCTACATTAGGTAGTTTATTCAGTTTTGGTTTTACCCTGATGCTTTAAAAATTAAAACTAACTAACTAAAGAGAACAAACAAAGAAATCCTGTTCCCTTTAAATAACTCTGCTTAATTACCTGCATTAACAGAAGTATCGATCTGCCATAGTGGTGTTTCAGGTATGGAGCCGATGGAAGAGTAGTCTTCTAACCGTTTCCCACCATGTTTATCATAAAGAAGGAAGCAATTCTAGAAAAAACATTTTTTACTCGTTGGCAGGGTGTCTACTTTGGTGTGGGGAAATTCTGGAAAGCTACTAAAATTTGTTCAATAATTACTAACAGGTTTACACAGTCTCTTCTGATCTTTGGTATATGCTGAAGCCAAATTTGTTCTCAGGCTAATCTGCATTTGATACAGTTTTCCTTGTTAAATACCAGCTAAGGACAGGTCTTTCGAGCAAACTGATTGATTGGTAGGGGTTTTGTTTGTTTGGGTTTTGGGTTGTTTTGGTTTGGTTTGGTTGAGCCTTTTTTTTTTTTTTTTTTTCATTTGGAGGGGAGGGTATATGAATTCAGTGTGAAATGAGGTACTTGCCTGTTTTCACTTCCCCCTCATCCCTAGCAGTGGAGCCATGCTGATCCTTGGACTGGGTGCCAGCCTCCAGGTTGTGTCTTTCCAGCTGTGGCAGATGATCTGTTTGGTTGGTCACTGGCTGGTTACTGAGGCTCTGCTGTGGCTTTTTATAGTGGTTGTTTTTCTATTTTGCAAGGTAGAAGAGAACTGGCCAGCTGTGAGTCTGACTCATGCCTGTGCATGTACGGCTGCTTGAATTTACTACCTGGTGTGCACCCATTGAAAGTGAACAAAGTACACAGAGTACAGCGTTTCCCTTCCATCAAGCCATGTTCCTCAGATGACTTACTAAAGGCTTCCCCTTGCTGGCAGTCAGAGGAGAGGACCATGCCTGTCTGCTGCCGGTGGCGAGGAAGCGTTGGCTGTCCTGGGGTTCACTTCAGTTTTCTTTCTTTGCTGCGATCAACGTTGGACCTCTGTGCTAATGAGATTTTTCTGAAGGGGAAGAAATGATCTGGGTAATGTAGGTCAGCATTTTCTTTCAGGAGGTTATTCCCTAGACACTGCTGCTTCTGCTGAGGCATTTGCAGCCACTGGGGCCCCTTTTGTAGGAGGCAACAGGACTAAGGAAACTGGCAGAGAAAAACCATTTTCCCATCGGGTGTTGTGATTAACTGAGCAGAGGGGAGCTGATGGCAGGGGGTCACATTAGCAGAGCTCACTTTGGCCCTGCCTTCCCTAGAGAGAGAGGGGGAAGGAACTGGAAGCACGCTGCCCTCCTCACTCTGCTCCGCAAGGACAGCAAAGCAGAAGTGGCAGCATGTCACGTGCAGGTGGGACTGGGCTGCCTCTGCCCAGGCTATCAGCCATATCTTTGGCAGCAGAGCTCAAGTACTCCCTCCCCTCCGTTTTTCCCCAAGGTGGAGGGCATCAGAGAGCATATGTATCTGCCAAATAGTTCCACACCTATAGCTTCCTGAAGTATTCTTGGCATAATCTCAGAGTTTGTCTTTACTTCTGTTCTGAAGGGGAGTAATAAATGGAAATTCCTGAAGAAGGATTAAATACTTCGTGTACTTTGAGGAATAGGAGAGACAGCCACGTGACTGATCAGAGCAGAAAAGATGAAATTTAGAAACAGTTTCCTCCAAGCACACTTGCAGATAAGTCTTCCATGGAGGCCCAAGCCAGCAGCTCAAATCAAAGTTACATGTTATTGTTTAATGTTCTAAGCAAGCAAACAAAACAGCATGAGAAACATGAACAAAATGCATCTTTCAGACAACTTTATATCAAAATACTTCATGTATTGAATACTTGGGATGCTTGTAATTGCCCTAAATGGGTTAAAGGTTTATAGCTTCTGTATGTCACCTGGGAACAGCAGAAGAGAGGGGAAGCAATGTAAGATTGGCTGATACTGCTATATGCTTTCAGGTATCAACATACTCACTTTCCTGCTCATCCCCCGATACCAGTAAGAAATGCTGCAAAAGGTAGCGGATTGCCTGTTGGATGCACCATTTATTTTCCTCCCACTGATCTGTTTAAAAAGTCCAGAAGCCATTTTGGTTGATAAGGCTGATCAACATTCAGTTTAATCCTACCAAACAGCAGTATAGTCATCTTTTTTTGGTTAATGCTATCTTGGCATTGCTAATTGAGGAAGATCTTCCGGGCAGAGACCATGTTCATTCGTTCGTAGACATTCCAATCCAGGTAGACCTCACCTCAGCCTTCTCTTCCTTTAAGCATCAGAATTTCTAAGCATCACCTGAAGCAGTCAGGTTTGTTCAGTGAAGTATGCCAAATGCTTTCCCAGGCAGTGCTAGCGGGAGTGAAACAGTGCTGCAAGAACTGTCTCTCTCAGCTTAAAAGCCACGTAGCCTTAGGGCTTGTCCCTGCTGGAGGGGGAAGAAGGAAGAAATGCTAATAAAGGGGGATTCAATGCTGCTGTTCAGATTTGACTTTGGAGTCGGACACGTTGCCAAGATGATTTGCCAGCTGCCTTTATTGATTCAGTAGGAACTTTTCTGGTGATTCTGGGCAGCCTCTGCTGCTGTAAAAAGCCTTAACTCTTGCTGCGCCCTGTAGAGAGGAATAACGTTGGATGGCGCGTTGAAGTTGTTTGTCAGGTACATCAGAACATTTCCGTTTTGCCGGTACTGCATACTTTTGATTTACAGATTTTAACAAATCTATTTTGAGGTTGAAGCCAAGCACTTCTGTTGGCATACAGCAAGTCATAGGTTTGATTAAACAAAATCAAGAATGTATGGGGATATGTGAAAGTCAGTGTACAAAATCTCAAAGATGGCATCATCTTGCTGCAGCCTTTCAGCACTCTGCAGGAGGGCCAGGGGAGCCATAAACTGGGTTTAGGTGGGAGCAATACCTATTTTCCACCTTATTTCTAGTTGCAAAGAAGTAGGGCAGGTTTAGCAGGCCCTGTCCAAAACCTCTGTACAGTTGCTGGAAGAAAACTTTTTCTTAAAACTTGGTAATTTTTACCATTTTTGGATTTTTATTTTTTTTTATACTGATAGGTGGCAGCCTTTTACTTCTAAGAGCAGTCATGTATGTTCAATTTTACACGTTGTCCCTGCCTTCTAGCAGACCTGTGATAAAACTAATGTTAGCTTTAGGGAAGAAGGATATTAATTCAATTGCTCCCTGGATATTTTTTTTTTTTTTGTGATCAGGAGTCTGCACAGAGGTAGAGCTGAAGTAAAAATAGAGTGATAAAGTTTCTGAATTATCTTGGATTCAAGATAAACACACCATGCTAGGGAAATAAAATATGGACCTGGGTTTGAGGATGAATGCTGTCAGGTAACAAGATGTGTCCTCTCAAAAAAAAAAATTGTAACTGAAGAGCATTGCTGCTAGGGAGAGCAAGAACTGAGTTGTTTTACAGCATAATGAGCCACTTGTTCAGAGCATTTCAAAATAAAATGAAATTTAAAAAATATAGCTATCCTGGGTCTGAACAGAGATCATTTTTCTTGACAATCTGGTCTCTAGCTCTGACCAATAACATATGCTTGGGAGAAAACATACAAGAATGGACTAAGTTTCATTCATGGTAACCAGTGGGCTTGGACACTTGAGCCAAAAATTGCAACAGGATTGTCATGCTTCATAGACTTTTTTCTGTGCACAGACTTGTCTTTTAAATGCATTTATACCCTTGGAATTAATGACATCCTGAGTCAGTGACTTTTTCCAGGCTGAAGAACATGGTGTTTGTTTAACCGCTGCTCCCGGATACTGTCATGTAACTCTGTTACTCTGCCACCCTGTGATATGGGAATATGGGAGAAATCTACATCAAGCTACTATATAAATGTTTCATATTCCTTCCTTATTATTCTTACCATTCAGTTTGCCCTTTCATTAACTCTGAGCTAAAATGCTCAAAGGGCTATCCGCGTCTGACTCCAAGATCTATTTTTTTTCGAGTGGTAATGCCGAGTTTAGGGTCTGTCACTGAGTATACGCACTAAGAGTGGTCTAACACTCCATATACATTCATTTGCACTTGCAGTGAGCTCTCCTGCCAGCTCATTTCCTTGATAGTGTCCTTGAATTATTCTGCAGCTGTTTATAGTCGTTTGAATTGCAACTACCAAGAACTCTTTTTTTATTGCTCAGTTATGACCTGGAAGAGGAGGTGGACAACTTGGTGCCCAGCACAGACACTTATGCTGCTACAGCAACAAACTTGTTTAAAAAATTGGACTGAATAGACAGTTTTTACACTTCAGTTATTAATCTAAGAGATCTTCTATCTTACCCTGCCATACTTTGATGAAGAACTTTGCTTATAAAGAAAGCAAAGAACCTCATCAAAGGCTTTGGAAATCAAGTTACTCTATTAATAGGCTCACCCATGTCCACATAGTTTTTGATTTCTTCAAAAGATGATAATATATTTCTGCGGCATGGCTTTCTTCCACAAAAGCTGTGTCTATGGTTTACTGATTTTGTTATTTATTACTAGCTTCTTTTCAGCACAGAAGTCAGACTTAGTGGTCTGCAATTCTTTAACTCCCCAG